ATTTCTTAACTCATTCTTTCATTTGCATTGATTTTCAACAATCATGACAAACAACTTACAGCTTTATTTCACAATTTACTCTGGCACTTTCCCTTATCGGTCTCTGTCTATCTATCTATCTATCTATCTATCTATCTATCTATCTATCTATCTATGTATCTATGTATCTATCTATCTATCTAATTGTTTTTGAGACAGTCTCACTATGTAGTTCAAGCTGTCCTTGGACTCACTATGTATCCCAGGCTGATCTCAAACTCATGGTGATCCCTTCTCCCTCTACCTCCTGAGCACAGGGATCACAAGCATGCACCACAAAGCTTGAACCTAATATATTAAAATGTCTGAATTTAGGGAATAGTGCTGGGGAGAGAAGGTAGCATAATATGTAGTCAAGATAAAAAGTTTTGAATTTAGGAGCTGGGGTTATGTTCAATGGTAGAGCATTTCCCATGAGGTCCTGAGTTCAATTCCCAAAACCAGCAAATAAAAGTAAAAAGTTTAGGAATCAGACAGTTTTACCTTTAAGTCCTGTCTTCCACATTTTTGGGCCATGTGACTTTGAAAGAAATAGTTAAAATATCTTGCTTTTATTTTGCTCATCTGTAAAACAGGCACAATAATTATATATCCCTCAAAGTTACATATGATAAATACAAGGCAGGAATAAAAAAATCAAGTGACACCTAATTGCTCAATTAATACTAGGCTTTAAAATACTATAATAATCCAAAATTTTTTCTCAAATATTGTATTTAAAATAGCAATTATACATGACATATGACAGTAAGTATTTTAGGTGGAAATTACTGAATTATATGCTGTGTCTAAGTAAAAAGATATATTGGGCATAGAAAGTGTACTTTACAAATATTTCCAAAAGATTTGGAGTTTTTACTTCAGATTCCTGGAAGCAGAGATTTAATGGCTAATATTTAAATGACAAGAAAGAAATTTTTCATTTGAGGTCAAAAGCTTTCTCCTTTCGTTAATGTAATGAAGTCAAAGGATTACAGAATTCCATTCCTCTAGCTTAATCTGATCCCAAATCACAATGAAATAGAATATTTATCAGTTCTGTCTTCTCCAGAAATGAGAAAATAAATTAGGAAACAATGAGTCTCTATACTTTCTTTGGAATGTTTTCCTTCTTTTTTTTCAAAGAGCTACAGAAAAGAAAAATCAGTTCTCTGGCTTCTGCCTGTTTCTGTAAGTCATCATGGTGAGAGGTACTGCAGTAACGATTTACAGAACAAGCTCATCTTAGCTCAGAGCTGGGCCGTTCCAGGCTATGACTGAGTGGCAGCAGCTTCGGGGCCTGCGAAGACAGAAATTTCATGGCAGTATGGAGTAGCTGGGCAAAACCACTAACCTCACAAGCAGGAAGCGAAAGATGGCAAAGAAAAAGCCAGGGTCCACCATCTGTATCAGCGACAAGCCCCCTGCGGCCTAAAGACCTCCCATTAGGCCACCCTTTCTGCAGCACCACCTGAAGCTGAAGTCTTTGCATACAAGGTCCGTGGGACGTTCAACACCCAGATTTCAAAGTTGTCTGATTACCTACTTGTTTTGTTTTCGGGTGTACTATCTGCTTAATTTGTTCCTCTTTCAGCTCCAATTCAGGATGCTTCTTGTATCCTGCCCACTTACTAGCAAAAGCTATAGAGAAAGCTGGATATCAACTGATTTCATCCACCGGCTCTGACATTTTCTGATAAAAAAAACAAACAAACAACAACAAAAAAACCCTCCTTCTCTACATTATTGGCTATAAAGAAGCAAGTCTGCAATTGGAGTGCTGCTCAGTGGTAGAGCATTTGCCTAGCATGCATAGGGTCATGGGGAGGGGGGACAGAGGCAGAGAGAGATGGAGAGAAGGAGAGAAGGAAAGAAGAGAAGTCTGTATGATTCAGCAGTACATCCCTTTAGGTAATTCTGACGCTCACTGTATCTTCTACCCATCCAATTGTTTCCCCACTGCCAATTATAATTTTTGCCCTTTCCCCACTGCAGTTAGGATGGAGTTTCAACTTGCTTGGTTCTGGGATCTGCCCCAGCATTGCTGGAGCACATTTCTAGGTATGAATCCATCCATGGGTCGTCGATGGGGTGTATGTCTCGGTTTCTTGCCCCTTCCTTTCTGCCACTCTCAAATGCTCTGCTTCCCCACTGCTGTGAATGAAGCAACTGTGCACTCACCTTCTTCAGCCCTGATGGCTCAACCTTGGAGTTATCTGGTCCTGGATTGAGACCTCTTCTCTTTTAAATTGAGGGTATTGGATACTGTATCTCAGAATTATGAAAGGTGACTAATACATTAGTAAACTCATTCTCTTCCCTCTCAAAATGGCTCTGGCTTCTGTACATCTATTTCTGTTAATCATCATCTTTTCATTAGCTCAGAATAGTCTCTTTAGTCATGTTTGACTTTCTCCTCCTTTTCAAGTTCTAAAATCTGTCCACTAACTCTGGATGATCATCTGTATTCAGCATCCAAATCTGAATGCCCATTACTTCTGTGGTTGAGCCTAAACTCAGCTCTCTCCTAGGCTACTGTGGACCTCCATATCTGACTTCTTGTCGCCACCCCATTCCACCCACTCAACCCCCAACTATTCAATATTCTCTTTTTATAAAGCAAGGAAATGCCACCGATATCCTACTTCAAACTCTAGGATAATTTATTAAAAACTCAATGCATCTTTTATTCTCATTATATTTTCCTTTCTTACAAACTAAATCTTCCAGGCTACTAAAGAGATTTGGACGTCCTTGATTAGGAGAAGTTGTAAGCAAAGAGCAGAAAGCAAAAATTACCTGCAGAAACCTGTTTTTGCTAGCTTGTGTTGCTGGCTTGAGCATGTTGAAAGGATTATTCTCCAGGGCATGTGGAACTCTCTTTGAGAAATCAAGGTGTTAAGCCCAGTACTGGATACTAGAGAATTTTTCTCCAGCAAAATCTTCATTTCTTATGGGAAAAGAGAAAGAGAGAGAGAAAGAGAGAGAGAGAGAGAGAGAGAGACAGAGACAGAGAGAGAGACAGAGACAGAGAGACAGACAGACAGAGAGAGAGAGAGAGAGAGAGAGAGAGAGAGAGAGAGAGATCCATGCCTAAATTATGCTGTCAGTGGATTCAACGGTGGGTTTAATGTCCGAGGAAGCAGGTATCTACTATTTTAGGGTTTTTTTCTTTTCTTTTCTTTCTTTCTTTCTTTCTTTCTTTCTTTCTTTCTTTCTTTCTTTCTTTCTTTCTTTTTTTCTTCCTTCCTTTCTTTCTTTCTTTCTTTCTTTTTTTTTTGGTTCTGAGGATCCAACTCACAACCTCATGCTTGCCAGGCAGGCACTTATGCCACTGAGCTAAATCCCCAGCCAATAGCTGCTGTTTTAGAACAAACTCTATTGTAGGTAGGGTTCTTCAGAAACAGTGATGAAATAGATTTTGGTGTGCAGAATAGTTATTGGGGATCAACACCCACTAAAAAGATGATGGAGGGAGCAGGAACAGATAACCAAAGAAACTTAATTGCAGTTCAGACTAGAAAAACATGAAGACATGAAACTCTGGGGTGACCTCTTCCCATCAGAGAGGTCTTGTAACACAGGCTGCCATGGGCAAGGTGCACCACTAGGAGCTGAGCAATAAATCCTCTTGTGAAGAGTAACCAGGTACCCATCTCAGTGTCCCCCACAGTATCTATGGGAACACAACAAACAGGCCCAAGGGAAAGCCATATCACTGGAACCTATGCATATGAAAGCAACCTTGCCCTTACTCTCTGACTTGATTAACTGTCAAGCATAATTAAATGTAAAGGTGTGTTGCTAGTATGAGTAATTCCTCTCCTGTCTTACTGCATTTGAGTATCACAGAGCAAAGCAAAAAACCAAAAAAAAAAACCAATAAAAAATCAAACCTAAACAAGATTCCCAGAAACTAAAGCATCATCTCAAAGTAACTGGTATTTGGGCAAAGAAGTTATGGGGGATGTTATATGCACATGTAAGGTGTGCATGAAAAAACAGTTATAGCATAGACAGTTACATAAATATGAAGGTGAGCCCAGAAACACACTCTGGAAATAAAAATGCTTTGAAAATATTGGTCAGATTTCATGATATAGACATTAGAGAGTTTAAAGTCCATAAACTATTTGGTATTGTGTGTCAGTCATCGATCATACAAAATAATTAATTCAAAGGAGAATGAAATGATGTCCTGGTCATATACAACTGACATTTGTATAGAGTTTTCACTTCTATCTTTCTGTTTGAACAGTTAGGATAGAGTTCGTAATATTCTCATTTTATATCAGGTGCCTAGTCAAAGACAAAAATAATTAATGCAGTGTCCTCCCTTCTGTGTCACACTAACTCACTACTAGTGTAAAAGTGAAAATGTGTTTAAGTAGTTACATATGAAATAGCGTTCATTCATTCATCTGTTTTTTCAGTCCACAGGGATTCTATGAAGATAAAATAGACCAGATTCCTGCCCTGAGAATGATTACAATCTAAGCATATGATCCTCTGCAAAATGGAAAGATGGACCTTCTAGGATTTGTTGATAAGCTAAGTCTAGTCAGATGGATGGAATAAGAAGGCTCCACTGAGATGATCTAATCGGGAGACTCCAAACTGACATAAGTATTTCATTTTCCCTTTTGACATATGTGATAACTAATCTTTATGCATACAAAAGTTGGAATTAAAGGTAAGGAAATCCTTATCCTGGAGAAGTCTCTCTACAATCCTGAAAGGTTTGTTCTTTACACAGTGAGCACCTAAATGATTTCCAGGTGAAGACTCAGGAGTTCAGAAAAGGCATCCTTACTGTACAGCAATGTGAAAATTGGTTTCATTAGTTAACCCTGGCAGTGCCAAAGAACACAGCCACAATAAAGAATAAAGGGGAGAAATGTTATTCGTCCTAACAATGTGTAAGCAGGAAGGGAGGCTGGGTGAGAGTTCAGGAGTTATTTAAGAGGTGGACTCAACTACATTTCATGGTAAATTTCAAGTAAGAAAGCTTAGTGAATGAACAGTGAGATACATTTTTCTCAGAGGTAAGAGAAAAACACACAAAGCTGGATTTATTGGTGGGAGAGTGGGAAATTAAGCAAGGCTGTGTTGGATTTATCTGCCAATGAGAAGACTAGATCACCTGCTATAAGGAAGAGAAATAGCTTACTGTGATAGAGGTCAGACATAGCCAAGGTGTTAAAGGAGAGGAGCATGTAGAAAGTCCGTGACTGGTATCATATGCTCAGCTGAGCGTCTTGGACACACACCTGCAGCAGCAGCATTATGCAGGTCCATGTATCTTCTTCCAACAGCTGTCAGCATTGTGATACCTGAGCTAAAACAGGGATGCCTGCATGGATCCAGCTGTAAGGTGTTGAAGGGCACTTTGGCAATATGGGACGAAATGATTTTCCAAGAGTTTTGAGCTGCAAAGAACAAAAAACATAGAGGATTGGAACTGAGACTAGAGGTCTTGATGTTAAGACTGGATGCACTGCAGATACAGAAGAGAAGACCTGATGTCAGATGTGACACAGAATTTTGCTATTTATACTGTTTGAATTTATACTGTATTTTTGTATTGGGTGCAATAGTTCTATGCAGCATTTGATTATGTATAATATGATTTTAGAAGTAAAGGACTTTAGAGGCTGTTTATTCTCATTCTTTCATTTTACAAATGATGAAAGTGCACACTAGAAATCAGGTAGCTGGTTGAATATGAAACAGTGACTTTGCCCAGTAGCCTGCCTACTGCAAATATCACCGGAATATTAGCACAGATTTGTTAAACATTTGTTAAATGCAGGACACAATGACAAGTTCTGATTGATATATTATACTGTTTTTCAAGGAATGGACAATCTAGTATCGTATGCAGAATTTATATTATACAGTGAATTAAGTGATTATTAAAGTGACATTTTGATAAACCAGGATCTCAAATTACCTCTAAAGTAAGCAAGGGTTGAACAGTTGCCTTTATTTCTCGCAGAATAATAATTTTCATTATTAAATATATAGAGAAAGAATGTCATAATTTTCGTGTTCAAGGTCTTTGAATTACAGTTTCTATGAATAATACTCCCTGAAATCAAAATAAATAAACTAAGAATTACTTCACATTTTACTTTCTTGTCTCCAGAATTACACGGAGTTCACTGTTTGCTTAGCTCTTTCTGCTATACCAATTTCTGGTCTGACTGGAAATGAAATTGTGTACAAAATCCTTCATTTTCCTCTTAACAATTTTTTTTTATGTTCTTCACCTCTGATAAAATGACCTCTACTCATTGCATCATTTTATAAGAGGCAATCAAGAGTTTTAAAGAGAAAAAGTATTTAATTAAGTAAATTAATTTAAAAAGATATTTGAACATGGAAATCTGCATAGTATAAATATTTTATATGGGAAGTAGCGATAAAAAGTAATATTTAGTTGTATTATTCATCTGTAGGCAGGAAAACCTGAAGTTAATTTAGAAACTCTTGTTCTAGTCCTAGAATGTCTCAAATAACATACGTGAAATGATTTTGTTGTACCACATCTCACAAGATATTCATATTAACTGTTTCTAAATTATACTAGTGATTATATTTCTCACATATTTTTTGAGTGTTCACCACAAAGATATAATACACAAACAAATTTATGCAACATTCATATAGCCACTACAATCAATATAATACATATTTTAAAATGTGATTGAGACATTTACCAATGTTCCTTTATTGCACATATAACTGTTTAAATAGGTCAGGGGAGCTCGTCCTATACTGACTGCTCCATGAGAATGAATTCAGGATTTTAGGATCAGTAACATCCTTTGACTTTGCTCTCAGAGAACTGTTTAGCACAATCACAATGCGATAGTAACTCGTGTGCTTTAGTTCAGATTCTCAGGAGTCTTGACTCTTACAAAATTAAGTCTCTTCTTGAAGGATTATACACTGAGATTACTGTTACTTTTTGATTTTTTTAATTACAAACTTCTTTGCATGGGGCATGGAATGGTTACAAATAAAGATTCTACAACAAATTCCAAAGCTCTGATCCTTGTTAAGGTGCCTTCATTACATGGTTAATCAACAGTGAGAGATCCATGAAAAATATACGGCCTCAGAAATGACTTTTTAAGTGAATTAGAATATTTATACCTTGGATCACCTATAATATCCTTAACATTGGTATCAATGGTCTTTGCTATCACTTCAGGAATGAACTCATGCAACTGGTCAAATAGCTTGTAGCAGACTGTCTTCTAACACCTATTACCAGTTAGAGAAGTAATTATTTAATCTACACATGGACAGTAACGTAGAAGAGGGGTTTCAAGGTATGCTTGTAAAATACACTAGACATTCTGGATAAAAATCCTTGGGAGTGAGTCCTAGAAATATGTGTTTCTGCAAACCTTCTACATAATTCTACTGCAAACTGAAATTATGTAACTGACTTAGAATTCACCTCACCAGCAAAGAGACCTCTTTCATGATCTAAAGCATTTATTAATGAAAAGAATAAATGAAAAAATGATTCATGGTCCATCAAAGAGTCTTCAATAAATCTTAGACGCCTACCCAGCAGTAACCAGAAACACCACACCTGCCTGGTATTAGATACTGCGCAAGCAGGGTATTATTTTATTTATACTTGACCCCATTACACTGAATTTACTCTTAATCACTGACTGGCATATAAATTTTACTCCTCAATTTCAGAATGAGTGCATGCAGCAGTGGGTCTCAGCTCTTTGTTACCCGAAAAGGCCTGCAGTGCTGGTAAGAGGACATAATACAACAATACAACTTCTACCCTGCCCACCACAGGAGCCCACGAAGTGCTGCTGTAGGACACTGAGCATCCAGCTCTGTGGACATAAAAACAGTCATGGGAAACATCACCTCTTCAGATCATTTAATTACCTCAAACTACAAAACGGAACTTAATATGATTGTTGAAAATCCTTCACAGTGGAAAACTATGTCGTAAGAAAGGCAGTTTATTTTTAGTTTCTGTGACATTTAAAAGGGGTAAAATTTTCTACATAAGAGCTTGAATGTGCTTCTGCTGTCTGTTGGGCAAAAAATGTATGAGTCAGACTTTTAGTGGATTTCCTATCTGCCCAGATCATTCTAGAGACTTTGCTGCTTTTGTGACCATTTTGTCAAACTGAAATCATAAAGACAAATTGAATTTATCAAACCTGCCAGCAATACATCAAGTAATTGCAGCAAATGATAAACTAAGGAGGAAGATACTCTTACTGCTTTTATACATCTCTTAGTTTTAATTACATCATTAAAATAATTTCTTGACCTTTCAAAGACCAAGAAGTAGTGAGCACAACACAGTATTTATTTCCATTTGGCTTAATTTTTGTGATTCTTGTTCAGCTTTGGCTTCATTTGGAAAAGCTGTAAAGTAAAAATTGCATGTGTGTTATGTACCTGACAAGTGAGTCATAGATACAAAACAGAATGTGTCTCTAAAAGTGACATAAAAAGATATGAGAAAAACCATTGGAATTTTTATATTGTCAAAACCTTGTTAGGCATGTTTTGGTTTAGGATTTGCAGTCTGTGGAGTACTTTATACTTCTCAAATTTCCTCTGTTCACTTGTGACTCTCAAATCTAATAGAAACCTCCTTTTCCCCTTCAAGTAATACTTGTCTGCTTCTAGGGCTATCAGGGGAATACTGTTTAAAAGAATTGTTCAAACCAGCCAGAGCAATGCACAAATACATACTGACTAGGAACATACTGAAAAGCAGCCATCAAAATAAGCAAAATAATCCAAAAGCTCATTGTAAAAAAAAAAAAAAAAAAAAAAAAAAATACAGAGAACAAAGTAAATGGAGTGCCTTAAGGGCTTGGTTTCAATTTCTGCAATAATCCACCATTTCAGATAGAGTTAATTCCCTAGACTGTGTACATATGGATCATTTAATTCCACAGATAATCTCTAATATTTGTTTTAGGATAAAATGTCAAACTTTTCCCACTAAACCTTTTCACCTTCCCTTTGGACAAGTGGCCAAATAGGGGATTTGTGGTTGCCTCTCATTTGCCTGACCCTGCATGCCAAAGGCAGTGCAAACAATGTGTGAAATAGAGCTCCTCGGAGTCTCTCCTGCTGCAGCTCAGCCGGGTTCCACCAGGTTTGTAGGGGAGAAAAGTAGTGGAGGGAGCAGCAAATAGAAAAGTCAAAGTTTTTGTTTTGTTTAAAGTATTTGAGTTAAAGAGTAGAATAATAGTTTGATGTGATAAATAAGATGAAATCCTCTGGAAAATGGATTCCTGGCTATTCTTTTCGGAAAGACAACAGTGACAGCAAAACTTTTAGAAACCAAGTGCCCAAACTGTAACCCCAAACCATTTATTTCTCACAAAGTGCCAACACTGTAATTAAACCTGAATGCTCAGCTGCTGGGCTGACTTAGCTCGTGTGCCTACTGCAGCAGATACATCCTAGTTCTCCACCAATGGTTTAGGAATTGAAGACAAAAGCATGTGTTTCTACCGCAGCTGTACCAGATAGCCAGGTACCCTGCAGCAATTATAAAAGTCTACGGCTGGGTGTGGTGGCACATGCCTATAGTTTCAGCACTTGGGAGGCCGAGGCAGGAAGATTACTGCATGTTTGAGGCCAGCCTGGGCTACAAAATAAGTTCAAAGCCAGCCTACACTGCTTTGAAACCTTGTTACAAAAAGAAAAAAAAAAAAATCTATGAAGCTTCATTTTTGTCATCAATAAGATGCAAATATTAATACCTTTTTCAACATAATGTCTTAAGAATTGAATAAGGTCATGAAAAACACTTTGAAACCATAACTATGACATAGGCGTTATTTGTAAAGGGATAAGTTATAGTAAGTGGAGAATTCTTTTTTGCTTTTTTTGTTTGTTTGTTTGGTTGGTTGGTTTTTTTTGGTACCGAGGATCAAACTCATGACTGACTGTGTGCTTGCAATCAGGCGCTTATGACTCTGAGCTAAATTCCCAGCCCATAAGTAGAGAATTCTAATAGTGGTTGTAGTGTTTTAGAATATCTGAAATTCAAAACATCTTTGTTAGCAGAATTTGGTGCACTTCTAATTTTTTAATTCCCCATTATCATTCAACACAGTAACTGGTCACTATACTGCTGCTAACAACCCATAATCTTTTCCCACAACAAACTGAAATCTAGAGCAGTAACTAGGAATCTTCAGCTCTGAGTGGCAGGAAGGAACTTATCAATATTCAAGACCCTGATTTTTTTTTATAAATCACATCTGCTATGAATTGTAATCTCTAGGTATGTATAGAGATTGGAGGCAATGGAATTCTAGTTTATATTTTTTATCAAAAACATTTATACTCATGAAATAATCTGGAGAATATATAATTTCTGGACAATCAACAAAGTTGTATTAGCATA